AATCCTGTAGGCCATTTTCCTTTCATTTTGACGGTAATGCCGTTCTGAGCCTCTGCCAGACTTTGAGGGCAGAGTCATTGGCAAGTTGACCCCCTGCTTTCCACCCTTCATTTTTCTCACTTTGCAGGTTTTGACTGAGCTAATGCTTTCAGGAAAAAAGGCTTATTGATTAGGGTGAAGTTTCTTGCAGCATCTGGGCTTTTATTGGTGCAGTTTGTGAGGTGTTGTTAGCTGTCTGGTAGTGCAGGTAGTGCTTGTTCTCACACATTTAGTAAATTCTTGCTGGCTTCTCTGCCCTCCTTGCTTAGACCTTTCTCACTTTATCCACTCACCTTCTCACCTGCCCAGAGCACTCCTGTTAGGACTGAAGCATGTAGCAAGATCACCTCAGCTGGTCTGAAGAGCATCCTCCTCCACTAATTTTAATTTGCACATTGTCTTTCATTCTGCAAGACAAAAATGGCCATCAACTCTCATCTCCATGTGATCTTTGTTTTTACCTAGATATTCTAGATGAAAACAAGCATGTATCCTGTTAGGATGAGCTAGAGCAAACCTTTTTTTGAAGTTTTTCTTTCAACAATAGCAAAGATATCCCACCATGAAGAGTCAAGTCAGAATCAGAGGTTGTGATAAGCACGTGTCTGATCACATCGATCAAAGGAAGACTACTTCAGAGTTGTCATAATTCATAATTCATTATAGCCATATTTTGTATATTCAAGCATGTGGTGATGTTTTATATTGTTTCTTTGTTGTGTTCTCCAGTGTAGTTGAAATATATTGAATAAAGATTGTTATAATAGTCCTAAAAAGCTATGTGAAGACTGAGCTGAGGCTTTCTTGAGTTTGTCCTATTACTTTCAGAGCCGTTTTAGCAGAGAGGTTCAGGGATCTGTGTCTAACCAGTGTTGTCACCTGATTGTCACTCACTCTCCTGGCTCCCCAGCTACTCTTCCCACACCCCTTTACTCCTCACAGTATGGTCTGTGGGGCAGGGTACCTGCATGTCCCCTGTGGCACTTTGTGTACCACATCAAGAGGCTGTGCATACTCCTAACCGTGCCACTGGAGCTGCTTTTCTGGAAATTGCAAGGAATTCATTACCATCCTGGCTTTGCCACTCATCAAGCACCTAGAGAAGACATTGAGCAAGGGTTATTCAGCAGCTTGAGCACAGAGATTTTGATGTCTATGTTTTAAAACCTCTAAACCACTGATCCAGCTCCTAATAGAGCGTGAGTCTGGGAAGCTGTGTAGGGAAAGTCCTAGCATGATTTTTTTGGGGTTGTAGCTACAACCATTTTGTAGGTTTGTACCTACAGAAGACTTGATTCAAAGAGATTGAATGTCTCAATCTCTTTGAAATTAGAAGGTGGCTACAGTGGCAGTAGGCATTTTTGGGGCTTTTAGTTTTCTCCTGATGTTACAGGAAATAAGCACAGGGTCAAACCAATCTACTGATGATACTTTCAATCTGTTTTTTTTTTTTTTTTTTTTTCAGCTAGGGAGATAGAGTAAAATGCCTCAGAAATGGTTTCTTTCTTGTGGGACCTGCAAACAATACAGACATTCTTGAAATCACAGCTATCTTATCAGAGCACTGTGAGAATGCCAGAGAAGGACCAAATTATTAAAACAGGAGCTGTTGTGGTTACCACAGTCCACTGACTCTGTAAATTGTGTGTAGTGCCTTCACAGCTGAGAATTTCTATTGCTTAGGAGATTGACATAGTCTCTGAAGTGACTTTCAGGTAATGTTAGTGACCTTCTAACCCTTGTTAGCGCATTTCTTTGGACTCTCAAAGTTGATAATCTTGCTATTTAAATAGGAATTTGAAGCTTAAAATTTCTCAGTTCTGTGAGTAGTTAAGTGGTGGGCTTCAGTGACTAGCCTCCCTGGAGCCCTGCTATGTTCCTGCAGCTTCCTTGGTGTTAAAACCTCAATAGTTGCTAATATGAAGACTACCTAACATGCATGGGAAGAAGGCTCATTCTCTGTTTTAGAAGAGGAATCCAGAAAGGAGATTATTTTTTGCTAACAATTTTTCCAGTTGGGTTAGAAAAGCAGTGCAAATCAGCAAGTGCAGTGAGGGGAAAAAAAAAAACAAGAGTCACCTTAGAAAATAAGCATCTACAAGTCCTCAAGCTAGAAAGCAGCAGGAAATATTGGGAAAATAACTCATTGTAAGATGTCTGATTTATCAAAGCAGTTATCTGCACAGCATGGAGAAAACAAGCCCCGTGTGTGTCAGTTCTGGGTGTGGGTGCATATGCCAGTGGGTATGTTTGTGTAAGGGGAGAAAATACACCTATAAGAAATGTAAAGAATAATTTTATCTGTATTACTGGCAAGAGAAAGGACAGCTGTTTATCTCCTGTTTATGCTCTTTTTAGTAAGGACTTCTGCACATTTGCACATTTAATGACAATGTGCACATTGACTGGAAAGCTGGTCACAGGGCTTCTTCAGAAGAATATGAAGGATGACCTATTATTTTCAAATAGAAATTCAGAACTGCAGTGTGCTGCAGAGTGGATGATCTTCTCCAAATCAGTTACTGCTCTTCAACATGCTTAGTCTTTCAAATGCCTTTTTTAATGGTTTAAGGAGCTGTTTCACTTACTCTGTGATGTAGAACCGTGTGAGGTCCCTGGCCAAGCGACACGTGCTGGGCAGTGATGAATAGAAACATTGCAGGGAGGAAGAGAGCAGGGCATATGTTTTAAATTAAAAGGAAATGCAAGGGAAGTGATTTGCAGAATAAGAAAATAAAGAAATCAAAGTTCCATTCCATAAAGTATATGTTCTCACCCTCCTGAACTGGAGCAATTGTCATGTTTCTGATAGGTGAGGAATGCTTGGCTGTTGTAAGAAGTCATCTGCCCATAGTCACTCATTACATGACATGCCTAATATCTTAACCACTGGAAATTCTCTGCCACCATTGGCTGTCAGAGTTATCCCCTCAGTGAAAGAGATTTCTATATTTAAAATGTAAATGAAACATTGCAGGCCTGGACGCAGCTGCAGGAAGGTGGGGAGGATCTCATATGAGCCTCCTGATGCTGTGGGGCCAGAAGCACACGGGCAGCACATGGAGATGCTAACGGTGTGAGGATGTGGCACCTGGACTCCTTGTCCACCCTTGTGCATTGGCTTTTATAATACGTGAGCCTACAGAGTTTCTCAGTCATTTAAAGAAACAGAAAAACCTGACAACACAATAGAACAAAAATCCAGAGTGTTTTTTTCCTGGTTTTCCCTTTGTTTTTTCATACATGAATTTTATGGATATAAGGGTGAGCAAATTTGTACAAATAGAGCAAAACTACCTTTTTTTTTTTCCTTTTGGGATAATCAGATAATCAGAATGCTTTTTATAGGTGAGTTTTTTTCAGTTTAATATAGTCTAAAATCAAGCATGACTGATAGAAAATTAATGCAGCATAGTCCATTCCTAAAAATACCAGTACTTCCTTTGACTATATTAAGGCTCAGGAAAAAAAGCATTTTAGATAAGATCTACCTTTGGTATTTCTGTGATTTCTATCACTGTGGTATCTAAGCTTATCACAATATTTTAATATACTTGTTTCCATATTCTCTGTTGGGAGGAAATTATATTATTCCTGTTATCACATAGTGGGAAGCATAGAAGAAGTTATATAACGTGTCCAGGATAGGGAAGCAAATTTGTTGAAAAACAGGCATTGGAGTCACCCTTGCTCTTCTAGGGGCAAAAGCCCTTTCTCCTCAAACAGCTTTGAGAAATTCTGGGATTCTTATCCTTTTTAGAGCAAATAACAAAAGCAGCTTTTTCAAAATCAGAGCCCTCTGACGCAGAAGGCTCTGGTAACAACCTGGATGTACGTCAGGCAGATGATTTGTCCAGTGGATGTCACTGGGGCTACCAACACACTCCAGCTTTGGTGGGCGTCTACCAGCTTTGGTGGGCTGCAGCCCGGTGGGCAGAAGCCTGCACCATGCTGCTGACTCCAAATGCACGAGAGATGACACACTCTGCAGAGGCTGTTGGTGCAGATAACAACATCAGTCTGAGCAGAGCTGATTGATGCTTAAAGTCTGCGTTGGTTTAATAACTCTGCAACTGGCAGGGTATCTCTAGGTACGGTCTTGCTGGAGTGTGGCATCTTTCAAAACATACCAAGGGGTGTTTATACACTTCAGTAGAAACATAGATAATGTTTCTTTTGGATCTTTTAACAAACCTTCTTCTTGGTGCCTACCTTAGTGTCTCTTTCTGCCTTTCAGTACTCAGCCATCAATATATTTTTGCAGTCCTCTTACACCCATATTTTGATTTTCCCTTTAGTCCTGTCTTGTTTTTGGCTTACGGGCCAGGTACAAACCTTAGACAATTGCAGACATCAGCATTGACTTTCCCCTGGTTTCAAATTTAACCTATGCTGGAGAATGTCTTCTCCTCTGGATAGCACTAAATCTTCCCTGCCAGAGATAACTAGTCCTTGGGGCTCATAGCTGTGCTTGTGCAGAGAAAAATATTTTGCCTTTGGAGTGGACTAGATTACCTGCCGTGTGGTGCAATTTCAAAACATTTTCGAGGAAAGCATCCCCTTGGGGCCATCTCAAGGCCTTCATGGGTAAAGGACACGAGGCAGCATGTGATGCTATCAATGCCCCTCCATTATTTTCCCAGGGAACAAAGCAGCAAGGCTCAGTGGGGACATGACCTTCCTGGGCTGCAGCTTGAAGGGGTCATTGATTGAGGGGAGAGGAAAAAGGAAGGGTTTTTCTCTGGTTTTCCTTTTAGCTGTGTAATTGGGGGGATTTATCACAGGCCAGAATGGAAATTTCTGTGTTGTTGGCCCGCTCAGGAACACTGTTGGCCAGCCATCATCTTTGTGAGCGGCACATTAAGCTGATGCAGTGAATAGATTTTTCTAGAGAGAGAAAGAAGTGCTTTGCTACAGTGCTGTCTTTACTAATGTATATTCTTCTGCTTTCCATCAAACAGTCAATGAAGGCTCAGGTGAAACCAATCAAAAAGAGACATCGACCTGTGACATTTGCCAGTTTGGGGCAGAGTGTGATGAAGATGCAGAGGATGTTTGGTACAGTAATTTGCTCTACTCTTCTATTTTAATGAATGTTGCATTATTTAAAGGTACTGTGGTTTGGAAAGCGTTACAAATGTTAGATACTCTGTTTTCTGCACACAGAGATTCATCTCAAAGTGACTGAGGTGGTTATTACTCTGAAAAAATGTATAAAACACTCTGGTTTATAATTTTGGAACATGCACGATTTAGACCGAGTTTAGAAACACGGTTATCCATTTTGTTGCCATTATAACTTATGTTATTCCATCTGGGGTTTTACAGCTTCATACTTCAGTAAAAAATAGAATTGGGAAAAATAATTGACCTAAGGCTTTTCCAGTTAAAAAGTATCATTAATATGATCATCATGTTAATTCATGTGTGGCATTAGAAAGGCTGGGAAATCTGTCTCGCTTTTTCCTATTTTGCTGGGGTTGAAAACCTTGTCCTTAATTGCTTGAAAAAATGAGAGTGTATGTTTCAACATTTTCTCAATGGAAATGGTTTTAATTTTTATTTTTTAAAAGGGGTTTCCAAATTATTTTGATTTTTTTTTTATTTTAAACCTTAATTACAAAAGCTGAAGGGAAAATAATTCTATCAACTCAGACTTTTATTTTTCATTTTGCCTAGGATATATGCAAACTTACATTAAGCCAGCTCTGAGCTAATCATTTCATTGTGATTTTGGAACAGTCAATAGATCAAAAAGGTCACTATTCACAGAGCTATATTTCTAACACTGCCCTAATGCCACGCCTCATGTTTCTCTCTAAGTAATTAAAACAGATTTAGAGAGACAACAAAATAACCATGCAAATGTCAGAGCTGCTGTCTGGATGGTGTTTCTGGGGCTGTGGGCTAGTGGTAGCTAAAGAATGGAGACACAAACTGGGGCAGTGAGGTGTCAGTAAAACACTGAGGGCAGAGCTCCAGTGTGGAGAACCAGAATGGAGCAGAGAGGAGTCAATAAATGAATGGTGAACGTGATAGCTGGGGCCAGTGTTGGGCACTCAGGCAAGGCATCTGTGCACCCTTGGTCAGGCATGAAATGAGGAACAGTTCTGCTGTTGAGCGAAGGAGCTCAGGAATATGGTCGTGGTTATCCATTTGTGCTCTTTTTGGTTTGGTCTTGCCAGCCTTAGTAATCTCTGGTTCTAGTCCTTAAAAAAACCTTGAGCAAAAAAACCACTGAGTCCTTTCTCAGACTTCAGTCATCAAAGGAAATTGTGGTGTTGAAAAACAGGAGCAAGGTGCATCATGGTTATAGGTTTCAGTAATGCAATGAAATTTGTGAGTAAGAAATTGCCTAATGTTGACTTTGCTTAAGAAAATTACCCCAGGTGTTATGATTTTCATTGTCTCCTTGACTGGTTGTCCTTGAGAGCTTTGGTGGTGCAGTGTAGAAACAAAACCACGGTGAAATTAATATATCAAAATTCACAGTCTAGTGCTCATGTTTTCATAATTAAGTGCGCTTCCAAATTGGAAGGCAGGAGAAGAGAGGGGCAAGGAATAAAATTAGCTACAAGATAACATTATTAATCATAAGCACTGAGTAGCAGTGTTTATTTTTTTCCAGAAATAGCTTGGTAAAACTGCCTGATCCAACTTATCCCAGTGTTCCCACTGCAGCTTTTGCACAATCTAATTCCTCCCTTTTGAAACAAGTTGGCTTTTACAGAGCAGCAGAATGGTGGCAGGAGCTGAGGCGCTCAGTCTTTATTGACAGGCGCTCTTTCTGCAGGGGAAGGTGCTGCTGGGGGCAGGAAGCAGGGAAGGGCTGGCACTTGGAAGATGCTCCCAGACAAACTGTTGGGAGGCAGGAAAGCCAATTCCTATCCAAAAACCCAAACCCCATGTAAAGCTTGTGAAAGGTCTGCTTTGAAATAAGCAACTTCATATGCCATAACAGAGCTCTATTTTCCTGTGCTTGCCCCCTGATTAGTCTTGGATAAGCATCTTTCTAAACAATGAGCCCTCTGGCTATCAGCTTTTCATTCTTTTTATTTCTAGACTAAAAGCCTACTATGTATGGAGGCTGTAGAACCCCTCTCTCCAATATATGTTAGCTGAATTGTCATGTTTGGCACCAGAGGCACATGTTGCCCCACTCCCCTTGCCAAGAAACGTCAATTTATTATTTGTTCCCTATTTTTATGTGGCTCAAGTATCAGATGTAAGCAGGGCTCCTTTAGCTGTCTCACCTGACTGAGAGCTCCTTTAGCTCTCTCTCACCTGAACCAGCAGTTCATGGTGGTGCTGGGACCTGCTGTTACAGGATGTCCATCCCAGCACCAGCAGCGAATTCCTGTCAGTCAGGAGCAGTCTGAGGGTGCAGGGTCAGTGCCTGATCTGCTCCAGGTGAGAGGAATGCAGGCTGGTAGCAGAGCCAGACTTCAGAGAGCTGGAGATGCAAGGCTGGCTGTTTGCCTACTATTTCTAGGGTGCCAGAGTAGATCAGAAAAGAGAGCACAGGTGTGATAGCAGATGTGGCTGGGCTGCTGGTGATTTAAAGTGACAATTGACATTCTTCTGCATTGTCAGTCTATATTTTGCAGACTGTTATCTCCAGTTTAACTCTTTTTTTCTTTTTTTTTTTTGGCTATTCATTGCCAGTTGTCACTCATCTAAATTGTGCTATTGTACTCTGTCACAATTATTTTTTATTCTTTTTATTTGCGTAAAACCAGTCTGTTAATGGCTAGACTCCTGGGATTCTAATGGGGGGTTGGCACACAGAAGATTACTTGAAGGGGTAAGATTTGTGTGAACATTTTCTGGAAAGTACAGAGGAAAGGCAGGAAAGAAACCCCTGTAATAACAGGTTTTCCATGGCATGCAGAAGCACACGTGTTATTATCCCATTCTGCAGTCAAGTATCATGAGAGTGAATGCAATTTGGCATTCCATTAGTGAATCTCTTTCTCTGAGTTAAAAACAAAGACTGTTCACTTGAAAGTCTTTAACATCTTGCTGCTTTAATATGTGAAAGCTTCTTGTCACTAAGAGGATCGTGTATTATTGGCATTATTCCCACCTTTAATGCATTTTGCACCAGTGGGCTTCATAAATATTTTAAGCAGGGCAGTGGCTACGCTCTTTAGCATGGGGTTGCAATCTATTGGTAAATCAGACATTTGGTGTTGCTTGCTTTGGGTTTTATTTCTGAGCTGGCTAAGGAATAATTGATTTTGTAAGACAGGGCTACTCAACATAACACCCCGAGAGATATACTTAAAAGGAATTGAAGAATGAGGCGTAACGTTTTGAGCCGTGGTGTATTGCTCAGCTCTTCCAAAAAGCATCTATGAAACACTCACTGTACATAAATAGTGCTCACCAAATGGAGTGCCTGCTCTCTGCTGGAGTGGCTTAGTGTCAGTGCAGAAACCTGGGTTCCAGCATTAATCTCCTCCTTATGGGCCACTGAGGAAATAAGAGCACTCCCTAGACTGCACAAGCCATGGCTTGGATAAATACTGGGCAGCTGTTTCAGAGGTCCACCAATATGTCCAGAGTGGAAGGAGATAAATAGTAAGAAAGATCCTTTGGTTGAGTTTCCAGTTGGAAAATGCTGGCAATAAAGATTTTCTTAAAACAAGATTAAAGCCAGCAAACCCCTGACTTGCAGAGTTAATCAAAATCACAGTGATGAATTGGGGTTAAATATGCATATTTTCCCTTTGCATTCAACAGCAGCAGGTCAGCCTGCAGCAGTGTGGAAGTGCAGCAGTGCCCACAGTAACATGCAGGTTGCTAGCTGGAAGGCAGACACACAGTGGTGTGCACAGAGAGAACTTCCCCTACAGCCTGGCAGTGTCCAAGGAGATGAGACCTCCTCCAGAGTGCTCCTCTGCCTGCCCCTTCCTCCTTCTGGAGGCCGCAGGTGGAGCAGAGAGGCAGCAGTGCCCTGGCAGGAGGTGCCTAACCCTGGAAAGGGCCACTGGAGAGTTTGTACCAGTGATAAAAACGTGCCTGAATGCCCCTGATGCTTCCTGCAACTTGGTCCCGCTCACCCCAAGGACTTTTCCTTGGCTGGGAGTAGATTATCATGCCCTGCAATGGGCACTGTGCTCGTGGTAGGAAACTTTCTTTCCTCCTCACAAGCCTGGCCCACAACGGAGGAGCCTTTTCCATTCCTTGCAAGTGGACAAGGATCCCACTGGGCAGCTTCAGCTTAGGAGAAGATGCTGAAGCCATTCTTGAGGGTCACTGATGACCCCAAGCTGGGACTTGGAGGGAGGCATCCATGCGTGGAGGAAGGAGCTGGGCTTGTTCAGTGTTTGGGTCAGTGGGGAAGGAAGGAGGGCTGGTCCCAGGCATGCTGTGCCCCTGGTGGCATTCCCAGGTGAGTCAGGGACACTGCAGCATAATTACAGCAGGTCCCTGTCTCTCTGTCCACACGGCTGGGACGATAAACACCACTCACCCACAGCAGACAGGCACATACACAAAAGGTATTACACAGATGAGATCTTTCAGTCCCTCACTTCATATTTTACTGCTAATCACTGGTACATCTAGTTTGGCTAATGCTCCTATAAGGCAAGAAAACAGTCAGAAGCACCTGAGGAGGGTGAAACCACATTCTCATGCAAATAAGTGGCTCTGTACATGGAAGATATCTGTGCAAATCATGCAGCTGCCATCTGCAGCAACCCCTGCAATCGATGCTGCCCCAGCAATCAATATTTATCTTTATTATAGTATAGAAAGAAAACGTAAAAGAAACTAATGATTTTGCCAGCTTCTCGATCCACACAGCAATTAGGTCAGCCAGCTTTGGGTCCCTTCCCCCTTCCATCAGTTGCTCTCAAGCAGAGCATTTGCAAACAAGATGCTGTACTGCTATAAAGTACTAAAAGGTGGTTTGAAGTCTCACATACATTACACGGGTATTGGCTGCTTCATGTTCAGCAGTGTGTATAATAACTATGTGTGACCTACTTGTTCCAGATGCAGAAACAACGAGCTGCTTTAACATCTGCAATGTCCCAGGCATTATACAG